GACACCGGGGTCCTGGATGGTTGCCCTCCAATGGGTCGGGAAAGGCCACCCCTCAGTGTTGCCGACCACAAAGTAGCGCCTCTTCCAGGCCGGAACCTTGTTCAGGAGCTCATGCAAGAGTTTGAAGCTAGGACGAGGTGGCAGGTAATAAGTTCGCCTATGCTCGGGCAGAACACAAGACAAGTTCTTTTTAATGGAAAGAATAGAGGAAAAGATGTCGAGGTCGAGAAGAAGGTTGTAGTCGTAGAAAAGAAAAATTGTGCCTACGACGTTGCGGATGGAGTTCGGGTGCAACTGGTCTATGGTGATGTTGAACAACTTTATGACTTCAACTATCAAAGGGTGAAGTGGAAAACGAAGACTAGCTACGAGCTGTTCCTCGAAGATCACGATCTCGTTGTGACCGTGCTCCCAAGGGAAATTACCTAAGGGGATACTGTAGACGAAGTTGTTTGGAAGTCTATACCGGGCTACTAGGGATAGGAGCCAATCCGCCGTCATTGTTGACGGGCCAAAGTTATCTGGCAGCCGACCTCGATGCGAGGTGGAAGCAAGATCACTAGAGGCCTCTCTCTCCCCTCGGGGTGAGTCCACCTCAGGAGGATCGTGGACCACATCCTGACTCGAAGTAACCTCCTCAGAAGGATGAACTTCTACAGCCTGAGCTGAGGTACCCACCTCGGCTCCAGCGGATTCACCGCTCCCATCTAAAAGGCTATTGAAACTAAAGCTAGACATAATGGAAAAACGCGGAACCGAAAAACAGAGCTAGGGAAGACTCACCAAAAGAAAGACCAGAGAAAGGAAGACGACCTCGGAAAGACACCGAACTGAAGGACTCGAGCGCGACCACAGATTGAAGATTAGCGGACTTGTGGCGAAGAAAATGAGTCCCTTGCCCCCTATTTATAGCCAGTGTGTCCGGGAATCAACGATCAAGATCGTCATGATCCAACGACTCCTAGGAAAACCGGTTGCATGACCCCCGAGGTTGAAATCGGTTTAGCGCGTATTTTGACGTCCGCGGAGTTTATAAAACGGTGTGACATCCGCGCGTACACCTGACGCAACCTGGGTTATTCCTGGTTGAGTCGAGCGGCCGAACTGGTCCGACCAATGATCCGCCCATCAAACCGCCTAGACCTCGTGCCAAATCCACCTAGACTCGTCATGAACTCCCCACACCGGGTTGAGACCCCTGGCTCGGGGAGTGGGGAGCAGTTGATGAAGGGTGATTTGACCCGACCTAGCAAAAAGGGGACATGTGGACACGAAGTGACTAAGAGATGACAGCTCAGCCTAGCCAGATTAGTTCGCAACAATTGAGCTCGGGTATTCAATCACCTCGGCAAAAGGGCCACCTCGGCACAAGGGTCACCTCGGCACAGGGTCACCTCGGCATTGAGGCACCTCGGCACTCAATCCAGTTCAGAAATAAAAGACTGAAGTATTAGCTCGGGACTACCGACTTGGACCATCATGTAACGATTCCAAAAGTCTCTCCAACAAACTCCGAACCTCACAGGATCATGCCGCGTAACGGCAAGCTTATCCTCTCCCCGTCCGGATCGAGCGGAATTGATAATCTTTATTAATTGATAACGCTACCCCCAATTAAAGCGGAAACGGATCCCATCAAGACGAAGATCCCGGAATTGGTCCGCAAAACCCGTGAGGGCTTAACTATATAAAGGCACTAACCCCAATGACACAAGGTACGCGTGATTTTTCTACTCTCTACCTCTCTAGTTCTCAAAGCTTTTCAGCTCGCAACACAATTCACTGACTTAAGCATTGGAGCGACCTCGCCGGGTTAGCCACCCTGGATTCTCTGATTCGCTGTCTGGCAGATTCACCTAGCTCGCTGCCCGATTGGAAGCCAGATCATTCTCCAGCAGGGAGTAGTCAGATCGCGCTACATCACTAACCAATGACGGCAGAGCCTATGTAGAAGGGAAAGGTATGAAAACCTATACAAAATTTGTAAAAGTTTTCTTATCTTATCCTTCTTTTCCCTACTTTTTCTTTTAAACGAAACATAGCCTCAGGGTTTGATGGGTTTAAGGGAAAACTCCTTACCAGTACTTTGAATTTTAGGGGTTGTATGAAGTACTGGTGGTTACGAATTGAGTTTTTTATGAGTTATTCAAGCTTATGAAAAACTAAATTCAATTCGGTTTAAATTGAGTTTTGAGCTAAGTTGGAGTTTGATATATAGGCTTGTATTCTAATAAGCTTATCTTGAACTAAGTGAAGCTCAGCTCGTGCCTAATTGAGCTTAGTATAATAAATAAATAATTTTTAATATATATACATATATATATATAATAAATAATAATATTTTTTGTATTAAATATTTTATCTTTTATGTATAATAGTAAATAATTGGATCATTTACTAAAACATCCCTATAGTTTCATTAATTTGCCAAAACCAACCCTATAGTGTGTCTTCTAGTAAAACATCCCTTAAGATTTGCATTCAACTTACCTAATCAACCTTCCATTAGATGAAAATAGAAAATGACATTTTTTGTATTAAATATTTTATCTTTTATGTTTTCTCTCTTTAGTTAATTGTGTTTTCTATACATAAAGTGTTATGGGTATTTTTGGAATAAACAACCATGGATCCATACCCTTGAACATTTTTCATTCCGTTTAGGGGTACTTTTGGAATAAACAACAATTAGACCATGCCCATCAACATTTTATAGTTACTTTAGGTGATCATGTTACTATTTTTATATGGCAAAACAAATAGTTGTTAATGAAAGGTCGATTAAGTAAAAAGGTTGTAAACTATAAGGAGTGTTTTAGTAAAATGGAAATTATAGGATAGATTTAAGTAAATCTATGAAACTATAGGGGGTGTTCATTTTATGTAAAAAAATATTTTTCTATGTATAGTTTTTATTTTTTAGAAAAAAATTGGTTTGCAGTCAAGCTCGAGTTGAGCCAAGCTCGAACTTATGAGCTTTTGAATCGAGCCGAGCTTGAGCTTCAAGCCTAACACTATTTCTGCGAGTCGAGCTCAAATAGCCAAGTATTCAACTTGGCTCGGTTTGAATCCACCCCTAGTGTCAAGTCAGTCCCTAACTTTAAAATCTATCTATGCATTATTACCCCAAACTTCCAAAATGTATCCAATAGGTCCATATCGTGAATAGTTCGTCAGTTAATGTCAGAAATGTCAAAACTACCCATCAGGTGTCATCTAATTTTCTTTATCTACCACTTCCACATAAACCAATTTAAACAAAACTCCTGTTTAAATATTGATTTCAATATACTATATTGTTGTTCCACCTTGATTCTAAGCAATCTTGTTTTTCAGCTTGTGGAATGATAGATTACCCCGTTACCAACGATGAATCTATGGTTAATGAATTCAAATCCAAACACAAGTAAATTCTGAAATAAGCAAAGAAGAAACTAAATTATGCCATTGTGATGCAACATTAGCAATCAGCAAAACCTTTCCCTTGTAAATGCTAAGATCAACATCATTTCCCCTTGCATCATAGCTAAGATTGGAACGTTATAACAACCATCCAAGATGGATTTCAGAATATACAAGAAATTTTCATTAGCTACATAAAATTAAAAAAAAAATAAACAATATATAAGAAACCATAGCAATGGTGGTTTCAGCCATCACCAGGAGACAATGGATTGTAGTAATGGCACAGCTCTTCAATCTTAAGATAGAAGACAATGAACAATGTCTTCTTTCAAGAGTAGTTTTGATATTTTAAAAATTTTAAGTGGCACATATGATCACATGATACAAAGAATTGATGGACAGAGAACTGACCGACTATTGAAAGAGAACTATTAGACACATTCTAAAAGTTCAAGATACAAGTTTTGAAGTTCGGGAACTGACTTGACACAATCCCTAAAATTCAAGGTACTTATTAGGAATTTTCCCTAGAGCTGTATTTGGAAACAAGCAAATAAGTGTGAATGTAAATATGTAGATTGTAAAATGGTTCATATAAACTGCAAAGTTGGGTTAGTTTTGCATTGACAAATTTACCTTCTTACCAAACAGACTTTTTAACTGCAATGGAAGCAAACGTGAATTTCAATAAAGCATATGTTTTTTATTTTTATTAAAAGCCAACTTGAATGCAAATTTACTTCTTTTTTATTGATGTACATTTATTTGTCAATGCATAAATGTAATGCTGAACCTGAAATTTGTCAATGGATTTACACTCCATTTGCATCGTTTCCAAACACAGCCTAAAGTTTAAAAGAGAGTTTCAATGGGATTTCGAGCATAGCAAATATAAAAAACAAAGAAGGGTAATCCCGTCATTCAAGAGGCTTCCAAGGGAGTTTGTTCGGGAAGCTTCTTTACCGTAGGCGTGTTTAGTGTTAGTGAGCAGTTAGCTAGTTGGGGATGCCACCGACCTTTCGGTGGTAAGGTAAAACCTAATTTAACGAAGGCAGTGAGTTTTCCGGTAGCCGAAAAACCAACGATGCTTCAAGCAGTGGTTTCGAAGTTTGCCGATAAACCAGATTTGTCAGACACTTAGAAGAACAGAAAGATCACGTTTATTATTATTTTATGGGGATCGTCTTTGCCACACGGCGTTCGAGAAGGCACGAGCCAGCCGTCATTAGCATCTCGTTCGCTTCAAGCCTTCAATCCAAGGTTATAAAACATCAAAATTTTGATAAACGAGATTCAACCTAATATAATCAGAGCGAGGGAGAGACAGAAAAACCCTCTCCCTTGTCTCCCTTGTTCTGCTTTTCCTTCGGCGAACCGTCACTGCACACACTTACAGAAAATGATGAAAAAGAAGGCTTTAAAATAGTAGTGAGGGACTGAAGGTGATTAAGTCCATACAACTTGCTTAGAATACATCCCACAAGCGAGAACTGCGAACTGGTAGCACTTATAACCAAAAAAAAAACTGGTAGCACGAACCTCCATGATCGTCCCACAAATTCAGATGAAAAAAACAAGAAGCATAAACGGATAAATAGAGCAAAAGAATTTTTAATTTTTCTATCTTTTACTATGAATTTTTATTATTATATATCAGTAGATGGATTACTATAGTCTATAGATTTCCTCCTTACAGACCCTTACAAAAAAAAAAAATCAGAAGGGGGTATTTCGATTCTCAGGAACAAAAACGACAAAATAAAAGCAAAGATTGGACAAAATTTATGATTTTTCTTTGAGGACGGAAGCTAAACCCGTAACGACTCTGGCTCCGCCCTGAGAACTCTTTGGTTTGATCGCCGGCAGCTGCCATGGTGAGAACTTAACCTTGTCCTCTTCCTCAGGAATTTCCAGGGCAGAAAACGAAGAAGCGCCGGACACCGTTTCCCTCGGCGAATTCTCCCCGAAAAGAAGCTCGAATTCACCAGATGAGTTGGAATTGTTAGTTATGTTCCCCGAAGATAGCTTTTTCTCACTTTCCATCACGCTCTGGGACTGGGTTCCGGATTCGGCTGTTTTGACCGGAGATGACGTATTTGTACTAGTAGCTCTGGTATAAGGAGATAGCCATTTCGCTTTCATGTATTCAGCTTTCCTCCAGGGCGGGAAGTGCATTCCTTTCTTCTTTAGGCTCTGTCTAGCTGCATCTGAGATAATTGAGATGATCTGTTGGAGACGGTCAGCTTTGCCCACGAAGATCGTTGGAATAACTTGGAGGACGGCCTTGTAGGTTCCAGTCGAACGGGCGATCTCGAATTCCGATCTGAAATCTACGTCGATCAGGAATCGTTCACCATCAACAATCACGTCTACGTATTCGTATTCTCCTGTGTCAAAATGGGGAAAATACCTTAAGTTTCAGAAAATGTAATATCTCCTGTAAAAATACCATATTATAGATGTAACTTGGATCAAATGAACTGGATTAGAAAAATTTAGGGAGAAAGAGAAAAGTACCGGCAGGAAAAGATGGAGATTTCTCCCAACGTGATTTACAGATTGAGGCATCGTAGCCGAGAGCCACAAGACCATCAGTTACAACCTTTCTGCAATCGTCTTTACGCTTGCAGCCCTTGTTCTTCTCTATGACTTTTGCAGTGTCAGCTAAAAGATTTCTCTCGGCAACACTCGCACAAGGGACCAAACTCTGTACAAGGAAGGAACGATTTTTTATTTAGATATGAAAACAGTAGCATTCTTCCTTTCATTTCATCATATCATATTATTAAAAAAGACTTAATATAAACAGCGATCAGGAGGAATTCAAAAGTATCCAAGCAAATTAATACCTTCAGAATTTCGCAGGCATCGCCACAGGAAGCTGCCGTTGTCGATTCAGTAAAGACATTGGAGACGTCAAATTCATCATCTGAACTATCACTGCAGCTTCCGTTGAAACAATTGCATCGATTCCGTCCGCATTTGGCCGCCGACAAATATTTCTCATTGTTCTCTTCGATGAAGTTCCGAACCATTTTGTCCAAGCACACAGAGCTTGGCTCCCAATCGTTGTTATTAGCATCTTTGCTGTACTGCTGTTCACCGGCGCTGGGCTTCTCAGTTGATGAAATCCTCAGGACACTCGGGAACTGCCGCTCAAAGAGCCTCTTGAGGCGCGATTTCACTATAGGTTTAACCGGATCGCTCCGAATCGATTCTTCAACTAAGCGAGAATCTATTGGCTGGATTTTGAAAGGAGGCATAATTAACAAGACCAGAATCAAAGCAACACCCTCTAAAAGCTGCTCTCCATTTTCGGTAATTCCGAAATCAAGGTCAATTCAAGAGCTTCTCTATCCTACCACTCAATCCAAAAAGCTTAGAGCTTAGACTAATCTGAACTACGAAGTGGAGGAACAAGGAAAAAGATAACAATTGACGAGTAGAACACAAAATCAGGTACTCTGCATAACATCTATCTCCTTGTTTGAGCTAAGAAGAGATTGGATTAAAGAAGGACGCAAAAAGGTTTAGTCATTAACAAACACATCCGATACACCGCAACAACGACAAGACCTTCGTTAATGTCGCCTACTATCATCCCGTCTCTGGACACCTTACCGGACCAGAAGTCATAACCGAGCAATGCGATGACCACCGAAAAGAAAAGGATAAAAATTCGATATGCACGAAAGAAATTGTCAAATCTACCAGAATCCGAAGCTCCAAACAAAATCGATACCTTTCTCCGCAGATTATTATATAGGCTTTGTTCGAGTTTACAAAACAAGCATAGAATAACTTGAAAACTCTGCTAAAGGAAGTCGCTTTTTTTTTTTTGTTTTCTTGATTATTGTTTCCAGGAACGGTCCGAGCAGGGTTCGTGAAAGACGTGACGACGAGGAACGGAGAGACGGACATTCCGGCGAAGTATAGAAGGATCAACGGCCGGAGTTCTCATTTCTCCGGCAAAATGATGAGCGTTGGTTAGAACAAAATGAAAAGAGGAAAAAAAATAGAAGAAAATTCGAATTTGGTCGTCGTTTGGCTTTCTTAGGAATAAAGAGAAGAACAGAGAAAGGGGTCGCTTTTAAAGGAACGAAGGGGGGGAATGAAGAGTCTGTGTGCTGACTAATACCAGATGCCACGCTGGATAGTGACGTGGCATGGATATATGGCAGCTGCGTCCTTGTTACATGGCAAGGGACGAGGGTTAAGGCGGGTTGGTTCGTGGCGGTAGTGACACGAAAACACGTTATCTCGATTGGGACGCACGGATTCCCTTCATGGGCCTCGTGAATGAGGTACAATACCGAAATAGCCCTCGACTTCTTAGGGTCAGAATTCAGATCACAGATGGGCTTAAAATATTCCTCATTATCCGGGAATATGGAAACCGGCACTAGGATCGTGGAAGGGGCAAACCAGGGAAGAGGTCAATCCACAGCCCGCTGAACAGCGAGCGAGTCCTTGGCGGTCATTTCCCCCAGGAAAAACAGAAAAGAAGTCGTCCTCTGTAGTCTGTACTGTAGGTAGTCCGCACCGCAGTACCCCACTCGCGAGTCGCGACCAGGGCCAACCAGGCGCTGCTGAGTGCTGCCCTGCCGTAAAAAATTCAGTTTCACATTAGGTTTGAAAAAGGAGGGGTAATTCGGGTAAATAGTGTATTTTCGGATAAAGTGGGTTCGTGTGGGTCGTTTAGCGAGGCACGCGGCGCACGGACGGGCTGCGGACTGCGGGCTGCGGGCTGCGAATCTGCAAGAAAGGAGAAAGGACGTTGTTGTTATGTCTGTCCTCCTGGGGCTTGGAGGATAAGATTCCGCCACGAGTCCAACCAGTACAAAATCGAAAGCGTACAAATCCCGGGCAATTGCAAAACAAGTTTTGTTAATTAGAGAGAAAACTACCGTGCGGACAAGCATACAAGACGCCAAGCAGGAATCCGGTGAATATCTACCGTACGCTACAGTGGGGTCCGCTTCCATCTTTTATTTGGTAACTAACATATATAGTATCGATACTCCACTACATTATACATGGATGTGGGTGGAGCCCACAGCCTAGCCCCAGTGGCAGTGCACCAGTGGTTGGTTGATTAATGATCCCTAAAATGTAAATAATGGAGGATTTCAAGTTTCAAGCAAAAGCGTCTGATCTTGACTTGATGGACAGTGATATGAAGTTCGGGCCAGGTGGCTTGGTAGCGGAACTCCTGGTGCTGACTAGTCTACTAGCATCATTGAATCAAGAAATCGAGGACGACATCAAACAGGATGTGATACCGATGATAGGGGTACGTGTCAAACGACCTCAACCGTACAATGCATTATCCATGGCGAGAAATTATGGTACGATCATGATTCTTGACTTGGGGACGTGCACAGACAATGGAGTTGATGAATGATGATTTTCAGATCAGATATATAAAAAGAGAAAGAGAGAGAGGGTTTCTGGTCACTACTCACTAGTGTAGTGGGTGGACTCGTCGCTATGGCGATGAAGATCATCAACGGGACAGATATTTACTCATATCGTATGTAGAACACTAGAAGTAGAACGCTTGCATTTCCAATAGGGACCCTTCCAAAATCCATGTGTTGTTGAGTTGTTGCGAAAAGGGATGAAGACTAGATGTACGGATGATATAAGTGTTGGGTACGATCATGCATGTATTAGTTTTGCACGGAAGAATCACAGAAACGTGAGATGGTGGGCCCGAAAAGCTACCGCCTCCACTCCACTGTGAACGGAAACCATAGTCCTTGCACAAATCACTGTGAGCAACAAACAGCTGATCAAAGCTCATATAGCTCACGCGCTGCGAGTATTTTGAAGTTATGAATCATGATGTCCCGGGACCGGGGACTGTATCTCCAATTCTCCATCGCTCCACCCTCCTCCCGTTACGTTTTCAACTTTGGAAATTTCAAAAATGTATTATTCTACATTTATAAATAAATTTTATTCATAATATCCAAACTAAAATAAATTTTAATTTTTTTCTTTTTAATTTTAGATAGATTTAAGAAAAAAAAAAAAAAAACAGAAATGTGCGGAAGAATCAATGCCAATTGCCAATTGCCAATTGCCAAACAAGGGATAAAGAAAGTAGAGACTAGAGAGAGAGGCCCTCGTCCGTCAACAAATAACAAAACAAAAAAGGGATTACTATGGTCCCCGTTTAAATCTAAAATCTTTCTCCAGCAATTAAATTCTTCCGTATGTCCCATGAATGAATGATGAAAAGCCAACACTTGGTGCTTTTGTGAAATGCAGCAAAAAAAAAACTGTGGCCTGGCCTCTGCACTGTACTCAATGATACCCTTTCTTTCTTTCAGTAATCTTCCTTCCCCCTCTCCCTTTTTCTTTCTTTCTACCTAGTGTATGCTATTTATTCAACTTTAATGGGACAAAACCATTGTTCCGTCCTTAATTCAATGATGTCCTTGGAAATTATTGGATCTCCTTTAAGCTTCATCCAACTTTACAGAACATGGCCTTGTTATTAACTTTTTGTTCTTTGAGACTCAACTGCTTTACATTTCTCACCATTCTACTTTCCCTTTTTAAAGTTTTCCGATACCTTCAGACTTCAAACTCAAATCATTTCTATGGTATTGGGATTGCTTATATGAATCTTGTTTCACCATTCCATTCCATTTTGTTTAGTGTCATATCCATCGCTTAATTACAAGCTCTTAGTTCATTTCTTACCACTCCGATCTAAAGGTGATCATGGGCCGGGCTTTGCACTTATGATAAGAGTTATAGTTTAGGCCCATGCCCGGTTGGGCCCAAGGTTTCAGGCTTGAAACATAAGCCCTAACCCATGTTTACACGGGTCAGGCCTGATTTTGGGCCAATGTCTTTTATATTTAAAACACTACATATCTATATTATTTTTACATTAAATGACATAACATGTATATAAACTTATTTTATACATTATATAATATAAAATATTACATATAATATAAATTATACATGTTATGTAATCATGTTATAATATTTATATATAAAATATATAATCTAATGTAAAATAACATATATACATATGTATACATTATACACAAAATGTATAAATTTAAATATATGCAGACCTAACCTGCACCGGGCCTGAACACAAAAACCCAGGCCTAAGCCCAGAATTTCTGAGTCAAGCCCGACCGAACTGAAATGATCACCCCTTCGATATATGTTCATTTTGATTTTGCCCTTCACCCTTCTAGTCCCTTCGATCCAACTCCTAACCAGTGTGGCACTGTGGCAGATTTATTGAGTCACCCCGATCAAGCCTTGGTTAATTTTCCAACTATATAGTCTATATTAATGAAATTATAATAGAAGATGGCAATGTGGAAGTTATTCTCGGATTACATTTCTTGATTTGAATCAAGCCAATGCCATTCAAAAAGCTAACGAACAGTTGCATTGAGCTACCAACAATTGACATTATAAAGTGTATTAATTTTAGTATGATGATTGATGGCGTCACATATATACGCATACCTATAGAGGTATACATAAAGTAATAAATGCACATAACTGGAGTAGTAATACTGATACATCATGACCAACAAAAAAAGATAAAAGGAAACAAAGCTTTATCCAGTGATACCTCAACCAACAATTATAAAGTATAAACATTGTATTGGAAATATCAGTGGGTTGGATCATTGTTTACCTACAACAAAAGAGAAACATATAAAAAGAGAGGAAGAACCATATTTTTATTATGTATAATTAATTACTTAATGACCACCCCTTATCAATTTAGTGACAACCACATGGATTATTTTGTTTGGGATCCACTACACATGCAATAAATATAGGTCTGATTTCCTATTTGAATTCAAAAATTTATAGAAGGTTTATCTTTTAATTAATGACCCACTTTATCTAAAATAATGAGATGCACATTAATTAATAAATTGAAAATTGTCTAAAACTCATCATGAGTTTATAGCATTTCTCTTAAATTCATCACAACTTTTTAAAATGTCTAAAACTCACCATATCACTAACTTGATGTTAAACAAATTAGCGAGTATTAATATATTACCATTTTAACCATCATAGAAAAATATAAAATATATACAAAATAAATTAATGGGTGTTAATATATTACCATTTTAATATTTATACATGAAAAAAAAAGAAAAGTTCAAAAAAATATTGCAAATATAAAATACATAAAAACATAGAAATTACAAAAAATATAAAAAATATAGAAATTGCAAACAAAATAAAAAATTATTTTCAAATTATAGAAACTATAGAAATTGAAAAACAAAATCAGAAAATAAAAATTGTAGAAAAAACACCAAAAATTATAGAAAAATACAGAAATTGTAAATAAATAACAAAAATACAGGAAAACTTATAGATTGTAGAAAATAGAAAAATGTAAAAAGTAGAAATTATAAAGAAACATTGAAAATTATAACAAAACATTAAAAATGCAAAAAAAATAGAAGAAAATTGAAAACTGAAAAAGACCATTTTTCCTCTAACTCACCATTCAAGGGTAATTTGGTCATGAAAATTGTTATTTATGCTGACATGGACACCTCTGTTAAGAAGCATTAACGGTGCACTAACGAAATGTGAGTTTTGGAAAATAAAAATTTACTGACATGGTGAGTTTTAGACATTTTAAAAAGTTCTGGTGAACTTAAAGAGAAATGTTGAAAACTCATGGTGAGTTTTAGACAATTACCCAAATCTTTATAATGAATCTTTTATTTGAATTAGGAAATTAAATTCTTACCAAATTAGAAAATTGAATTAGAAAGGTTGCTCAAAATTGCTAACGCTGGACACCATTTGAGTAGAAGTACTCTTTTTTTTTTGGTAATTGTCCAAAACCCATCATCACTTTTTAGGAATTTTCTTAAACTCACCATAACATTTTAAAACGTCCAAAACTCACCGTCTCAGTGAGATTTTATTTTCTAAAACTCACCCCTTTAAAATTCAATGACCCAAGTTGTCTACGTCAAACTAATTGCATGTTTCATGACTAAACTGTCCGGTAAGTCAGCGTGTTAATTTTTTTTTTTGTTTTTTGACCGAAATAAAATAGGACTAGCCACAAGGCCACAACGTTCTTCCCGTCTGACCACTAGAGACGAGGCTAGTCGTCCGCGATGGCATCGAACCCTCGCTGAACGTCACCGTATAAGTTTTCTTCTCATTTGGTTGACTGAAGGCCAACGAATGCGGCTCAACCAAGATCTTTACCAGCTCCACCTGCGATGTCACAGACGCCTTATACGTCGCCGGACTGCCCACGTTCGTCAGTGTCCGCGTATACTTCACTATGGTGGTCGCAGCGGCAGTTGCTCCGCTCTGTGCGGTGTCGAACAGGACGACCAGGGAAGGGTAGGTGAGATCAGTGACGCTGTATTTCTTGGTGGCGTCGCACGTAAAGTTTCTCCTCGCTATGCTATTAATCTGCAGGGAGGTGTCCTGTTAACATCAACACCATCAACAAGGTTGCCAAGTGACAATGCTTCGATCGACGAGAATGTGGTCAGTCCGTCGTGCACATTAACGATGACCGCTGCATGAGTGAGCTTCATCCCAAGATCATCTGTTAAGAATGTCATCAACATACCCACCCCCGCGAACTGATCCAGCTTCGAGTTGATAACTAATCCTATCGTGTAGAATAGATCATCACTTCAGGGCGCGCACTATCAACAATAATGATAAGAATTTGTTTCATGCAAATAAAACTATAATTTCAAGAAAGGAACAACCTTGGATGAAGAATCGATTTCTCGGTCCACTATAGTGGTACTGGATCCATCTCTTAACTTTATTAATTTGTTGTTGCTTGTAGTTGGTTGTCGCTCATCTCTCTCTGAATTATGATCGGATGGATGGGTGGGAGTAGAGAGCACAACTGAGTGAGCTCTGGAAACGTTTTTTCTTTTCCCCAGAGAACACAGTAATAAAACGAAATGGGTAACCGGAGGAATTAAGAAGAAAGAAACCCCATAACAGAAATTGATGGAGAAAAAAATTTAGAAGAAAAGATGGGAATGAAATGGTCGATGTTTATGGGTCTACCGGTATTGGATTTTTATAGCTGATCATCCTCTACTGCGTAAGGAAGATTTTCGTCTATTTTCCGGTAAGTTTCTTTTCGTTTTACAAACTTCGAATGAAGATTGTCGTCGCCCGTCGGCACTGTGGTGGCGGGGCTCAAGGTTCAAACGAAGAACTCGCTGTGCACTTGCTGTGCCTACTCCATGAAATTCCCATCTCCGTCTAGGCCGGGGTTTGAGTGGTTGAAAGCACATGCTTGAAAACCAACACTTTGTTTAAACATTTTATTTGGGTATGCCTTGGCTAGCTGCCATGGACTGTCAGTTTTTATTCGTCAAAAGAGTTTCTGTTCAGTTGCTAGACGAAGCTATGCGCTCTCTCTCTCTCTCTCTCTCTCTCTCATCTTTAACCATCTTCTTTCCAGCTTCGGGTGTTTCCTCCAAGGTTCTTTCTTCCTTCCTCTCCCAGATGAACTCTATCTGTGTGTCTGAGACTGATAATGAGAGTAAACGACTTTTAGCAGAGTCCTCCGGTTTTCTTACCCACTGCAGTCACCAGCAACAGATGCGCGTCGGCCACCAGTCCTCGTTCATATCTAGTCCAAGGAACTTTGGCGTCTGAGTAGTGTGAAGATTGTATGTGACTTCAGGTAAGACAGAGAGAAGTCGTGAATAACGTTGTGTTTGTAGTATATTGCAAAATGAACAGAATCAAAGAAGGATAAATAGTAAATTAACGATGCCTGTTAGTCAAGTTACCGTTATCTCACTGACATGGTGAGTTTTGGACGTTTTGAAAAGTTATGGTGAGGTTAAGAGAATTCATAAAAAGTCATGGTGGGTTTTAGACAATTACCCTTTTTGAAAATAAACCGAAATGTACTACACACAACGGGGTACTAGGTCTCTAAAAGTCAGCAGAACAAATAAGAAGAAAAGAAGGGGGAAGAGATAAGATGCTAAAATCTAGAGAAGAAGAAGAAGAAGAAGAAAGAGCCTTCCGAGCCAGCCAGTCAGTTGTTTGATTTGCTTCTCCGTAGACATGTTGATAGTGAATATCTCCTTCGAATAGGTCTCTCTTCGGTAAGCAACTTGAGATAGTACCTTCTAGATTCCAAGGAACATCCACATTTCTTTTGAGGCAGGAGATAACAAAAGACGAATCTCCTTCTAAGACAATAGGAAACTCTCTATTGTTTATAGCTTGGACATGGGCTTCCCATGCAACCCAAGCTTCAACCTGGTTAATGGAACAAATACCAAGTTTATATGCTTTGACCACTAGCACCTTACCAAGATGGTATCAGACTATACAGGCCACTGAACATTTTCCTTCACTATTGCAAGAGGCAACATTATTTTGATAAAACCATATTTTGGACCATTCCAACTAATTTGTTTCCACCGCTTGTAAGATGTGGTAGAGGTACTAAATTTATTCCCATCAAGAATTTCCGTGAACATATTTAGAGCTCTATCTAATAGTATTGGAATGGGAGTAGTACCATCATTAAAAGTTTTGGAGTTCCTACTTTTCCAAACCACCCATAGAACAAAGGCTATTTTTTCCTTAACGAAAAGAGTTTTGCTTTCTTCTTTAATGCACATTCTTATCCACTAGTCACTTAGCTTTTCATTTTCCTTTGGCCCTTCCAAGGGAGCGCTTAAAGTCAGCCAAACTTGCTTTTGTGTGATCACAAACTTAAAAATGTATGCAGTATCTTCCTCAAGCCCACAGAAACTACAAGAGCCATCAATATTATTTCATATTTTCCTCAAGTGGCTTCTAGTAGGCACTTTATTACTAAACAGAAAAAACAGAAATTGATGGAGGATGATTTGGCCCGACCTCGTAGCACGGGGACACGTGTGCGTGACTTGGCCCAATGAACAGCTCAGTCTGACAGCACAACCGCGACTCGACAGGAGGGACACGCTGAGTCCAACGCTAGCCACTCGGCGGGTTAAGCAACTCGCCGGGGACTAACACCTGGCCTACCTCGACTCCCACCAAGTGTGGGAGGTCCCGAGCTCCTCCCAGGACCCGAGCTCTCCTTGAGGCCCGAGCTCCCGCTAAGGGGCTCTGAGCTCTCCTTTCCTAAGATGGGAGCACCCCGGTTTTTGGCTAAGTGTCCCGAGGGAGAAGCACCTCGGAGCAGCACTGCCTCCAGCGCAAGCACCTCGGCACCTCGGTACTGAGACAAACTTGCCCCAGGTAGTCCGGCGTACAGTAGCTCGGTAGGCTGTAGGAAGGCCTGTCTGACATCAGTACCTGTCGGACCCGGTGGCAGGGCTCTGACCCCTTGCCAGGCAGCGTTCCGCCTACCAAGCGGCGTTTTGTTTGCCGTCTCCGGAAAGCATGGCACGCCTGTCGAGTCCGTACCTGGTGATGGCAGCCTGTAGCAGCAACCTGCGCCTGCCACACCTGCCTTGGTAGTAACGACTAGGGTGGTGGCGGTTATGCCAAGTATGACCAGGCCCCGACATAAAAGAACTCTAACTCTCATGGGGAAAAGGTATTGAAGCTTAAGCACTTTCAGCACTCTGACTCTCTACTCTTTCTTTGAGATTTTCTCCAGTGCTAACTTAGCCATCGGAGTGTTCCCACTGAGATTAGAAGCATATGAAGACGAGCTATATACCAACCTCGGTCCGAACTGGGAAGGACCCTACCGAGTAAAGCGAGTACTCGAGGAAGGAACATACGAACTCGAAACCCTAGAAGGGAAATAAGTACCTCGGGTATGGAATATCGTCAACCTAAGACAATATTACCTGTAAACCACCGAACTGAGTGAACCACGAGTCACTCCCTTCTAGCCTTAGGGCCAATTCGCCGAACTAGCGACGACCTCGGCAACACGAGGTCCAATCACCCCTTCAGTAGGGGTAGACTGCAGGAAAATAGTTCGGATTAACCACGAGTCACTCCCTCCAGCCTAAGGGTCAATGCGCTAGGTTAACTGAAGACCTTGGCGCTATGCATGACTCTACTGCCTCGCCAGCATAGGCTTAGCATGTCAAAGACCAAGGGCGTCTCGAGAACGGACTTTCCGACTCCTAGCCTACCTCGGTATACGCTACTAGAGGTAAACACCAACCTAAATAGCCAAGCAGACAGGTTGGGCACGCGCCTTACTATGTCTACCTCAACGTACGTTGCTAAAATCTGATGATCACCCCTACAAGTGCAGGAAGACAGTTCGGGGTAACAGCGGTAAAGGGTCGCTGACCTCAAGAACTAAATTCACTAACTCAACAGCTCGAATAAGACAAACACTCCGGCATAAGAGAATCACACAAACACTTAACAGAATATATATACTCTCATTGCATAAATGTGATTTCACTACAGAATCCCAAGTACAAAGAAACAAGAAAAAGAGAATACAAGGAGCATGCAACTATTTGGAAGGCTTATCAGCCTTACTCGGGGCCTCTTCGGGGGCCTCCTCGGGGGTGTCGGCCAGGTCGGTAGCATCAGCCTTCTCAATGCCGCCCTCATCATCGGAGTCAGGGTCTTCTGCGGCCTGGCGAGCCATGTCATCTGTGATATTTCAGGTGGTGAAGGCATTTATGTCGAGGTCGGGTACGTGCGCCTCATCCACCACCTGCCGAGCTTAAATCCCTTATGGTAGGCCTGCGACATTACGTCGTCAAACCTAGACGAATTGACATAGACAATGATGAACTGGGCCTTCGCCTCCCCGAGAGCTTCATCGAAGATCTCGGTCTTCTCCTTGATGTTGGCTTTAAGGTACTCCACCTCGTGCTCCAAGGCCCCCTTAGCTTCCATAAGCCCCTGCACCTCGAGCTGTGAAGCCTTCTGACCCGCCTTGAGACTCTCCACCTCGAGCTTCAGGGCTTCCTGACCTGCTCTAAGCCCGTTCACCTCGGCCTTCAGCCTATCCCTCTCGCAGGCCAGCTCCTCCTTTGACAGCAGGGCTTCGATAAAGCTCTTCTAGGCGGTAGCGTCACTCTCCAATAGGTGAATCTTGCCCCGAGCTGCCCTCAACTCAGTATGGGCCGCGCGAGATGACTCCTCAGCAGCCAAAGCACGCCTCAAGTGTTTGTCGGACTGAAATGTCAACACATGCACAGCAGTGTTCACCTGGCAGAAGAAGGTTGGTCAGTACTAAAGAAAGAAGAAAGAAAGAAGGAGAAAGAGGTGGCTCTTAGAGTGTGAACTCACCACCATGGCGTGGGTTGCAGCGCAGGCCCCGAGCTGACCAGGGGAGAGTTCGGCCCAATCTACAACCTCCGTAGTGATAACAACCCTCTTACTTCTTTCAAGGCTGATATCGGGATTCAGGATGCTCTCTTCCTCCACTTGAGTTCTCGAGCTGGATGCCGCCGTGTTTGCGGCACGATAAGCCGATCCTTTGGAAGCCTCGGTAGCAGCCCCAACAGGATTTGGAACTTCAGCGACAGCCCCGGTTGGCTCAGCGATAGACTCTGTCGTCGTTTCAGGCCCTTGAGGCGGTAAGTCCCCCTCAAAGTCTATCGCTGGAGAGGCATTAGGGTGCTCGGGCCCCAAAACAGGAGCCTATGGGGGCTTAGGCCCCGAAGAGGGGACCTGCGGAAGGTCGAGTTCAGGGGTGGGGGTCCTTGGGGATTCCATGCGCGCCTTCTTGGAAGCCCGCTTTTTCCTCTTCTTCATCTGATGGAGGAGCCTCGGACCGGTAATCCTCTCTTCCTCCATGGGACCTGTAACAGGGCCCGGCGTCAGTAAGCTCGAAGACACTAGGCTGATTAAGCAAAACACTAAAGTAGARATTGACCTACCCGGGCTCAAACCGGCCTGAATGAGCTTCCCTTCGGCAATATAGTCCCTGTGATCGAACCCGGCCTGAGCCCATGTGTCAAAGGTTTCCCACGTCTTCCTGATTAGAGCAATGCTGGGAGCTTGAGTGGCCACCCTTCAATTAGTAAGGAAAGGCCACTCCGTGCTACTTCGGACTACGAAGTAGTTCCGCTTCCAGGTCGGGACCTTGCTTGGGAATTTATGTAGCATTTTGAAGCCCGGGCGAGGAGACAGATAGTAGGTCTATCCATGCTCGGGGGGAGCACCAGAGGCACTCTTTTTTCTTAACAAGATGGAACAAAGGATATCTGCGTCTAAGGGGAAGTTACGTTCGGAACAAAGGGAGATGGTCCCGACCAAGTTCCGAATAGAATTGGGGTGGAGTTGGTCTAGCGTGATGTTGAAGTGCCTCAACACCTTGGGAATGAGGTGGTGGAGAGGGAGACGAAGCCCGCCAACAAGTTGCTCCCTAAAGATCACGATCTCATCTGGACCGCGCTCCCAAGGGAAGTTTCCGGTGGGAAGACTATACGAATACTCCTGAGGTAGGTTGAATTGTCGGATGAGGTGCTGAAGCCTTTCCAGCGTCATAAAAGATGGACCGAACTGATCCGRCGCCCGACCTCGACGAGAGGTAGACGCTAGTTTACCCGAGGTTACCCGTGCCTCGTGGGAAGGCTAGGCGACGGCAAGGTCACCCTGACCCGAGGTACCCACCTCGGGTTATTCTAAGAGTGTCCCCGCTAGACATGGAATGGAATTAACTGAAAAAGGAGAAAGGGAAGCTCAGGGACTCACCGGGAAAATGACGCAACCGAACTAGAAGACCCGAGCTGAAGACTCCAGACGCGAGCTCAAGGTAGACGAAAGATACTTAGTGGCGAAAGAAAATGACCAAGGTCCCCCGTTATTTATAGTCACTGGGCCCGGGTGCCAAACGGTCAAGATCAAAGCAATATGACAATCCTCAAGAAAACCGGCTGCGAGACTCTCAAGGCGAAATTGGTTTAGTGCGTTTTTTGGCGTCCGCGAAGTCTAGATCGCGTGACGTCTGCGCGTAAGATGTACGCAGCCCAGGTTTTTTCCTTCTGAATGAACCGAACACCCGACCGGTCTAGCCAGCGAGTTGCCCGACAGGGTGGCATGAGTACCGAGCCAAATCCACCCGGCGCACCGGGAACTCCCCACAGTGGGTCACCACTCCCAACACGGGGAGTGGGGGGCAATTGATGGAGGATGATTTGGCCTGACCTCGTAGCACGGGGACACATGTGCATGACCTGGCCCAATGAATAGCTCAGCCTGACAACACAACCGCGACTTGACGGGAGAGACACGCCGAGTCCAACGCTAGCCACTCGGCAGGTTAAGCGACTCACCGAGGACTAACACTCGGCTAACCTTGACTCTCACCAAGTGTGGGAAGTCCCGAGCTCCTCCCAGGACCCGAGCTCCCCTTGAGGCCTGAGCTCCCCCTAAGGGGCTCTGAGCTCTCCTTTCCTAAGATGGGAGCATCCCGGTTTTTGGCTAAGTGTCTCGAGGGAGACGCACCTCGGAGCAGCACCGCCTCCAGCGCAAGCACCTCGGCACCTCAGTACCGAGACAAACCTGCCCCAGGTAGTCCGACATATAGTAGCTCAGTAGGCTGTAGGGAGGCTTGTTTGACATCCGTACCTGTCGAACCCGGTGGCAAGGCTCTGACCCCTTGCCAGGCGGCGTTCCGCCTACTAGGTGGCGTTCCGCCTGCCAGGCGGTGTTCTGTTTGCCGTCTCCGGAAAGCATGACACGCCTATCGAGTCCATACCTGGCGATGGCAGCCTGTAGCAGCAACCTGCACCTGCCACACCTGCCCTGGCAGTAACGRCTAGGGCGGTGGCGGTTATGCCAGGTATGACTCTCTACTCTTTCTTTGTGATTTTCTCCAGTTCTAACTTAGCCATTGGAGTGTTTCCATCGGGATAACTCCCCGGGAACCCTTCACCTTCTCCTTCATCTCATGTGTCATTCGTTCCAGTCAGAAGCCAAGTCACAGCCAACTAGGATTGCCCAGATTGTGCAGCATCAGAAATACTTTGATCTTTGGAGGGCATTTCAAATTCCAGATGCTATTCAACCAATTAAAGTTGCTAGGAGAATTTGATACAGAAGAACATTTGAGTAAATAAGCTGATTTGATAGAGAAGGTCCCCTTAGGATTGCACCCACAAACCCTTTTATCCTCCATGTTATTAGGGGCAATATGAATAGTCTTAATGTTTTGCCAAACATTTTCAAAGACCTCATTTTTAATTTTGTCTTCCTTTCAATAATCCCTCTCAAAATCAATCATTTCTGCTACTTTGATATTAATATTTGTAATATTTTCATGGTTCGAAGTTTCAATTAGAGGTTTGTCATATACCCAATTATCCAGCCAGAAATTTAAAGAGCTTCCATCACCCCCTTTCCAACCAGATCCCAATCTAATGAGATCTCTAGCAAGGAGGATGACTCTCCAAGCCCAAGAGGTCCCTTTTTTAATTTTGATGTCCAAAAAGTTTTCCCTTCTCAAATATTTGCTCTTGACAACTTTTATCCACAAGTTATCTCCTTCGTTCAAATCGTCCACCCTAACTTAATCAGACTAGCCTCATTGACCTAGCATAGTTTTCTTATTCTCATTCCACTCCACCTTTTGTGAGTGCAGATTTTTTCCCAATTCATTAAGCGGAGGGATTGAGTAGAAGCACTCTAATCTTAGAGCTTTCCTTTAATATAGAAAGAAGAGAATGACCCCATAATAAGTACGAGGTCATTACACATATACATCATTGTGTTTGAGATTCACTATTTATTTATTGTATCTAATTTGTGTTTTTATTCAATTTTAAAAATTTAAATAGGATTGTAATCATAGCCATTTCATCTAAAACAACGGAGCACACACCATTGAGAATCTTTATGATGATGAATCTTGTATTTGAATAATGAGATTAAATTAGAAAGATTAATGTAGGTGTTGGATACTTTTTTTTGAATTATAATCAGTAGTTAGCATTTTTTTTAAAAGAGGAATTAACTACTTCCACTTTTTATGAAAATTGGTAAACACATGTTTGGTGAAGAAGGCTTCCATTTGAGAGTGGATAGAACCACTCCTAAATACTCTTCCTTGAGAAGATAAGTTGCCACCAAAATTTTAAAATGTTAAAGGCCTAATTTGGGCATACTGTGTCGAAAGGTGAGCCTGTAACGGGCCATGGGCCAATCTGAAGGTTTCTGTACTTGAAACCCAGAAACGCCCTCCCGGTCCCGGGTGTTACCTAAGCTAACGTAAAAGCTTTACCAAAGAAAGCATTAGAGCAACGGTAAACCAACTTGAATCATGGGAGATATTTATGTTAGTTGTTAGAGTAATTTAAATTGTATATTTCAAGACAATCAGAAAACATCTAAAGCTTTCATTCATATGTGTGGTGTTGGATAGAAAGTAGCTCATCATCTCCACAGTTAGTTATTTAGGGTGCCTACTTTCAGACTCCATAACAGTCCTCTTTACCTACCAACCCCCATTAAACAAATTGCGTGTGTTTTTTTTTTTTTCTTTTTTTTAAAAAAAAAATGATCCCATTTAGCAAATTAATTGCCATTGCTGAAATAAGTCAAAACCTATGGTTAAAGAACCATCAACCATTTGATGGTGGTTCAGTTGGTAAGTTATTTAGTTAGTTGTAGGGGAGACTTGAGAACAAAATTACCCCGACCCCCTCCTGGTCTGGTTCTGTAGCCCCTTAGAAAGAAAAAAACGCAACTATAGGCTTGATACTCTGATGATATTAACCTTTCAACATATATACATACATGCCTTAATAGTTAATACCTAGTATTTGGCGTATCAGGCCCCCTAAACACCAATTGATACTTGGAACCATCAGCCCATTTGGCTTGTTATCATGTGTTTTTTCTCCCTTTTC